TTCTTGACACAAGAGGGCTCTGCGTGCTGCTTCTGACTCATTCCCGGCATCTTTGCTTTTGTTTACACTTACCATGTGTCTCCGACTTCGTGTTTTTTCATCATTTCCAGCTTTGTGTTTTATGCAATCATGTACTGGGCAGCTTGATGTTATGTGATAAGGCGTAATAAGAGTGGTGATGGACCAGCAAATATTGATAAAGACTTGAACTTGCCACCCTAGTCTGTCTCTTCCATCCTCAATACAGATAAGTAACAGTCTCACTTTATGCCACATTGCTTATTTAAGGCTTATTATGTTTGCTTTATATGGCTGCTTTAGTTTCTTGCTAGACAATCAGTACAACAAAGATATATCAAAGGCAGATGGGAGTTTTTGGAGGGTAGCTGGTCCCTAACCGCCCCCTACATTTGTTAAGTTCTTATGGGGTTAATTGCTTCGATGACCATTGACTCACTAACCAACGTCTTTTCCCGGTCCCTATACTATGTGTCAGTTATCAAGGTACACCTGTATATTGAAAATAAAAATGTAAAAAATGAACAAACTGATTGAAAAATTAGAACAAGAAGTGGTACCAAGAAAAATAGGAAAAAAAATTATAAGAATGCTTAGTTATGTACAGTGAGAAAATGAAGTATCTTCCCAGCTTTAGCCAAAGTATAATGAAACCTGACGACCCAACACAGTGAATGGCATCACTGATGATCCCTTTCCAAGGTTCCACAGGTCTGCCAACTGTTTATGGGCTCCACACAGGTATGTGTTTATGATTCAACTGTTCTGGGATGTTTTCATCAAACCCCGGGAAGGTACTTCCTTCTCTCACTGTGCATTACAGCAGGATTAGAAGAATGTATTTTATATGATTTTTGGGGTAAGTAATGCTCATGAGATGTGAATGATGGCAATTATGTTTTGGAGTTTGGCCATAATTTAAGTGGTTGCTACTACCAATTATGAGATCTTTTTCTAAAATTCATAATTGTGTTGCCGTCGAGCAGCGGGTCCCAAATATCTATTACAGTAAGTCCTCGCTTAACATCATGGTTCCGTTCCTGAAAACAGCGATGTTAACAGAATCAATTTCCCCATATGAAATAGATAAAATACGGGAGTTACGTTCCCCAGCCTCCCTTTACCCCATGAAAGACATTACATATACAGAAATTCAATGGCATTTTATAGAAAATAGTATATACGTATATAAATGAACTTAATCATTTTGTATTGTACTCACTGATGGACGGAGGTGGAGGAGCGAGTGTGTGGTGGGAAGCACCAATGTCCACCACACGTTCACCTTTCTCAAAAACAGTTTAAAACCTCCAATTTTGTAGCAAGGCTAATGGTCTCATATTGCTTCTTTACAACACTAGCATAAGTAGCACTTGATGGGCACTTGGAAGCCATTTTGAATGGTTAGAGTACAGTATTAAGAGCAAAAACACTTAAACATGCACAAACGCTGTGGTAGATTAACAAAGACTGGCGGCACTTGGGGACACTGTGTGATGCTCCGAGGGTGAGAGCATAGCTCACCAAGGTGAAAGAGGGTGATGTGCCGTACAAAGCAGTCCGTGACGACGCTATACTGAATCGGCGGGCCGTTATCCAATTCATGGGTATCTAAAGAATAGCGACGTTATAACGAAACAACGTTGTCGTGGCCAACGTTAAACAAAGACTTAATGTACTTGTTTATCCCCCGAGGTTCATTACAATGATCCGTGCACCCCTACTTACATACAGTATTAAATTTAAATATATTTCCAAAAATATTTTCACTGATATATGTATACAAATTGTGACAATTTTTACAATAAGATATCCAGTTATACATAAATTAGCAATAAGATTATTATCTACATTGCATAAGATTTTCTTTTTCAAGTTTTTGAAACTTTTAACTTTTTTTAAAAATATATTAAATAAAAGATACCGGTAAATAAATTGATGACAATGAGACTAAGAGCCCAATAACTACACAAATACTATAGTCTGATCAATGAACAACAACATAAAGCTTAATTATGTTTGGAAGAAACTGAGCAAGTAAAAAAAAAAAATAAGCTTGGGGAATTAAGTTAATCACTTTCAAAATTATATAGTACAGTCGTCCCTTCACATACGCGGGTTTAGCATTCACGGATTCGCAAATACGCGGATTGCCCCGCCAGAGGAATATTCTGTACATTGAAGTACATTCAAATCGCGCGCCATTCAACTCGCGCGCGGCACCGAACACGGGACACCGCCCGCTCCCACAACCTCACACACACACACGCATAGCTCTCCCTCACTTAGTCAGTCTCGCTGTAACCACACTTGTGTTGACATCAGCATTGTAGTTGCAAAAATATTACATTTCCGTGAATGTATTATATCAAGCACAGTATGAATATATTATCACTAATATAAGACTATTTTAACCGAAAACTACTAAAAAAACGAGTAACATCTCTTGAACATCGGAAGGTTAGGCAAAGTCTCTTGTTTTCGTCATGTATTTTATCCTAATTTACATTGAAATACATCACGTTTCAGCAAAAGTACTATTTATTTCTGAGAATATGGAAATGTAATATTTTGCTGAAATGACGTACGTATTACAGTGGAAAGTGACGAAAGCAATGACTCGCTTTCTTTCGCTCAAAAGATGTTACCGTAATCGCTTTTCGAATGGTTTTCAGTTAAAAAACTGTTGTATTACAATAATATTCTATCCTAATTCACTTGTGATGCAACAGTTTTTTAACTGCAAACCATTCGAAAAGCGATTACGGTAACATCTTTTGAACGAAAGAAAGCGAAAGTCATTGTTTTCGTCAAGATTTTGTCCCACATTCCATTGTAATACTTACGTCATTTCAGCAAAAATATTTCATTTCTGTGAATGTAGTATATCAAGCACAGTATGAATATAATATCATTGTAATATAACAGTATTTTAACCAAAAACTATTAAAAAAACGAGTAACATCTCTTGAACATTGGAAGGTTAGGTGAAGTCTTTTGTTTTCGTCATGTATTTTATCCTATTTTACATTGAAATGCAACACGTTTCAGCAAAGCTACTATTTATTTCTGAGAATATATTCATTCGGGCGCAGTTTAGGTAAAATATACATGTGATGTAACATTTTTTTAACTGAAAATGATTCGAAAAACACGTACCCTCTAGCCCTGTTCAAGGAGAAGACTGGGAGGAGCTGTTTGGTGTTGAAGACGATGACAAGGGAAATGATTTTGATGGATTTTAATGAAAATATTCAGAAATATGGTATCGTAGTATTTATTCAAGTGAATTAGGATAGAATATTATTGTAATACAACAGTAGTGACGATGTGGAGGAGGCGGAGGGATAGAGCAGGGAGGAGGTGACTGGCGGGAGCAGGGACGAGTGGAGATGCCAGCCAGTACATTACGGGTGTATTAATTGTTTTTATAGCTATTTTTGCATTTTAATATTAAATACTGTACATTACGTTTCAACAAAACTACCATTTATTTCTGAGAACATGGAAATGTAATATTTTTGCTGAAATGATGTACGTATTACAGTGGAAAGTGGGATAAAATTGTGACGAAAGCAATGACTTTCTCTTTCTTTCGTTCAAAAGATGTTACCGTAATCGCTTTTCGAATGGTTTTCAGTTGTGGGATTATAAGGCTAATGATAGGATAGAATATTATTGTAATACAGTACGAGTACAACAGTTTTTTAACTGAAAACCATTCGAAAAGCGATTACGGTAAAATCTTTTGAATAACGAAAGAAAGCGAAAGTCATTTCGTCATGATTTTATCCCACTTTCCACTGTAATATGTACGTCATTCCAGCAAAAATATTACATTTCCATATTTATTTCTGAGAATATATTCATTCAGTCACAGTTAAGGTAAAATATACTTGTGATGTAATATTTTAATGAAAATACGGTATCGTAGTTTTCTTTTGTTTCAAATTTAATTAACAAAGATTGATGTTTCAAATGTAATGAACAAAAATTTATGTACAGTATCTATAAATACACTTTAATAAATGAATACTTTATGTTTTACATCGTCCTGTGCTACCATACCATGGATTTGGCTACTTTGGGCTTGCTATGATGACGCAAGAGATCTGCCCTGGCAACTGTACCGACACTCACAGCTGGTGGTGTGTTGGTGCATCGTTTCCATTGTTTACTGGTAGTTACAGGTAAATATTTTTCAACCTAACGAAACTATTACCCGTTTAGAGATCGACCCCCAATTTTTTGCCAAATAATTTGGTCTTAAAAACTCGAACTACACACAGGTATATACGGTAAATAAGGACATGGGGGCCAGGGTTTTTTTTTGGGGGGGGGGAGGGGGGGGGCAGCACATATACGTGGATTTTTAACATCCATGGCTATCTCTGTTACGTAACCCCCGCGTATGTTAAGGGCCGACTGTA